GACGGACAAACGCGTCAGTTCTAATTATATAATGGGGGTTTGCTAGGGGGGTAAAACCGGGGACGGGAGTTCTCGGGCGAGTTACCTTTCCAAGGGATTCCTTATTGTTTTCTGGAATTACCACCTTTTTAAATAACCCCGGGGGGACGGGACCACCTTCGTCTTGAACTTTTATTTACTCTTTTAAATGTGGTAAGATTCGTCTCAACAAAAGGTTCTCCCTCCGGGAAGACTTTTAAAACCATTCGGGGTCGGGGGTTTTGGGCGGGCTTGGGGTCATTTAGGGTCCAATTTATTAGCTTTTCGTACGAGGGTCGGCTCTTTCCACGTTTATGAACCAAAATTTCTTTGTGTGAAAAAAATTTTAATTAAATTTAGGGGGACCAAAAAAACAGGAGAAAATAAGGGGACCCGGGGGACAGTATATTCCGGTTGAGTGGAAGTTATTTTCAGAAGGGGACCTTTTCCCCCTTTCCCAAAAACACTTCTACCTCTCCTCCAACCCTTCAGGGCTCTCCCCCATCTTCCTCCGTTTCCGGTGTTCCACCCGGGGGGCACCCCCGGGGTTGAAACGATAGTGAAAGGGAGGGGGGTGTAGAAAATTTCGTTGTTGTTGTTGTGGGTTGGGTGTGTTTTGGGTCCCCTTGGGGTTGTGCCGGTGGTCGGGTTTCCTTGTTAGTGCCCGGGGTTTTTAGGGGTATCCCCTTCCCGGGTTGGAGGTAAAATATTTACGGGTAACCCAAAAAAAAACGGGGGACGGGACGGACAAGAAGGACCCCATTTACCCCTCATTTCCGGCGTCACAATTAACAATTTCTCTCGTCGGGAAACGGGAGGGGACCAGGGGTATCTTCTACCTTGTACCCCCCAATTCCTTTCAAGGTCGAAAATTTACCCCGGCGGTCCTCCGGAAGGACAAGGGGCGGTTTTTGCCTCCCCCCTTTTAGGCCCAGCAAACGGACACCCTGAAAATTACTTTATCCACCACATTCTACAAGCTTCACCCCAATAGTTATCCACCCTGGGCACCTTTTGGGTCTCTTACCCCTCCCCCCCTTGTAAAAAAAGGGGCTTCCCCAACAAAAAGTTCCTTTATTCCTTTTCCGGGTTCGTCTTCTAACCCTAGGGCAACTTGGTTATTAGGTTAAACAATTTTCAAAACCCCAGTACCAGTTTTATAAAAAACCCTTTTTTACCCCTTTTTATTTCTCTAAAAGGTTATCGAAAACCAAAATTTCAATTAAAAAAAAATTCAAACCCCTCAGCAATGGGGGGGTTTATTTATCCTAAATTTTTTTGGTTGTTTTATTCGGGTTTACAAATATAACCCTTTTTACCCCGGGTTGGAATTTTACAAAAAAAATATTGTACTCAAAAGGCTCCAGTCTTTGATTTAATGGAAAATCTATTGACACCAAACCCACGACATTAAAATGGGTAGTATGTCAGACCGTAGACCAAATTTGCTTTTAGGTTGGGTTTTAGTCAAAATCACCAAAACCCCAACGGAACTTACCAAATTTGCTCGACAGTTCAAATGTCACACCGGGGGTAATCACACCGGTAACGCGTAGGGTTTTTTTTACCCCCAAACTTTTCCGGAAACCAAACCACCGGGGGAAAATTTTTACACTTCAGTTTTAGTTGGTTGACGTTAACCACCAAAAACCTTTCTACCCAAAAATTTACCCAAGGCTCCCAAACAAGACAACCAAACACAGAACCCCACCTTTCCTCAAACTTTCCAAACAAACAAACCCCGTAGGACAGAACGTTTTTAGGGGTAGGGGATTAGAGGGGGGGGTCTTGTTGAGGTCTCCTAGAGTTTATAAGGCTGTTACTTAGGGGCCAAAAAATGAGAAAAGAAGGATGGGCATAAAGGAACCTCAGGTTTTACATTCAAAAAGGAAAGGGGACCAACCCTAGACCACTAGGGGAATGCCCTGGGACTTCGGGCGGGGTTTCTTTATCCTTTTTTTAGCGTCCAAAGGGGCATCGGCTCCCCGAACTTAGGTTGTGTGAAGGGTGTGTCGGGGCACGGTCAGACTCAATTCGGGGGGTAACGATTCCTGGGGAAAGTGAAAAAGTGAGGGCACACTCTCGGATTAAGGGGAATTCAAGTGTACAGTAGAAACACGGGGAAAAACACCCCAAGGGGAAAAAGTTTTAAAGAGAAGGCCGGCAGGAATTACGGGTTTCCCTTTTGGGGTAAGGGATCTGTTCGGCCACAACTGGTCCCGGCGAAGGGACCCTTCCAGAGGGGAAGGGTTAAATATTTGTATGTGAGGATCTTTTGTCGGGACCCCCTTGCAAATCTAATGTCGGGGGGAATTGGTTTTTTTTGTCTTTCGGAGGTACCCTATAACAGTTTGTGAGGAGAATGGCACACACAACAACCCCAACACCAAACACCACACACCAAACACCAACCACCAACCACCACACAACCACACACCCACACACCAAAACCCACACCACACCACCACACAACAAACAAACCCAAACAACCCAACAACACCCACCACCCAAACAACACCCAAACAAAAACCAACCACAAAACACCACAACAAAAACACACCAACAAAACCCCAAACACACCACCAACACAACACACACCCGCGCACCCTCTTTCTATTATAAGGGAAAAGGGGCGTGGTCAAATTTATTCCCGTTTTTGGACTTGTTTTCCTTACTATAAACAAAACCACCCCAATTTAGTTCCTTTTTTGTAAGGTGAAAGTGGAAAAAAAAAAGGAAGATAAGGAGGACTTTTTTCTATTTTTAAATTTATCAAACCCATTGTAATACTTTTGGCTAGGGTCAACAAAACACCAAAACAAAAGTTTTTTTCAACAATACCATTAAAACCCAAAGGCAAAAATTCATTAATTTATTGGTAAACCCCCCCAAGAAAAAAAAAAACCCAGAATTGATTTGGAAGGGTTTCCCAGGGTTACGATTATTTGTTATCTTTTATTCGGGGTCGATTAACCATTTAAACCATTGACAATTACCAATCCGGGAATGTAAAGACGAATTTTTAGGTGATTGTGAACCTTAAGGGCGGGTTCTGGGGAGTTCCAATTTTCCAGGGCTCCACGAAAAAAAAAATATTCAAAAGGGGTTGCATTTTTGTTTAGTCGGAATAATGGTAGGGTGAGGTAGAAATTTTAAATGGTACCCCTTTTCAGAAAGGTGGGCGGATTCCGGGGGGTAACTTTAATGGTTTAGGTCGGGGTGGGTGAGTTTGGGAAAACCCGGGGTACTACGGGGATCGGGGGCATGTGTTTTCTGTACAAATGGACAAACCGGGCCAGGGCGGGACACCCACCCCACGGGGCCACCGGGCTCCCTTGTTAGGTCTTCGGCCAAACCCAAAAACACTTTTTAGGTCACCCCTAGGTATACTATTTAAAATTTGGAGCCTTTCTTTCAAAAGTTTAACCTCCATTTCTTGACCATTTGGTAATTTTTGGGTCGTCAGAAGGGACGACCCGGTTATTTTCTTGACGGAATGTTGATTGTCACCCGGGTTTTCTGTGGGTAAATGCAGAGTTACAAGGAAGGGGCACGTAAATGGGGATCTTGGTCTAAATACAAAAAAGGTACGCGTGGTTTGTCGTTAATTTTTGTTTGCAAATAAGGAGGGGAAAGGGGAAGATTCGGTGCCCTAGGTAAATTCCCAGTTCTTTATATTTTTTTGTTAAACTTAATTACTTGATGACGAAGATGGAAGGACGGGCCAACTACCGCAACGAACGTTTTATTTACGTAAAAATTTACTAAAAAGCGGGTCGTGTATATATTCAACAAAAGGGTCGATAATATCAGTAATTTTATTTAAACCACATAATCATGTGTTATTATAATCGAGGCCAAAAGCTTTCGACTTAATACGGTCCTCGGGGACACAACACCGCACATAATAAT